GTCCCATCCCAAATCCTTATCCTGACCCCTTCCCAGTGCTATATAGTGGTAATGGCTTGGCGCTTTCCCCTGATAATTCCTTCCTTCCTCCACCCCCCACCCCCTCAAATAAATTGCCAAACATATTAAGTAACAAGGACAAACAAAGCAGAATCAATCTCCAGCAGCTTAACTACCCAATTAGATGTAACTAAAAGTTGTTTCATAAAGAATGTTCAAACCTAATAACAACTTAATTCCCAGGAATTAAGTTAAAGAAATTTCTTTAAAATTAACAAAACGTTGTTGTATTTTATGCGTATAGAAAACATACACTGATACAACACCCTGGCCTTTGGGCAACACATCGTGACGATACATCAGTGTGGCGTGACCTAGTGGTGGCTCATATGGACCATCAGCATATTGGACCTCTCAACATTTCAGACCCAGGTTCGAATCCTGCTAAACTACCGTCTTGCTTAAAAATGTCCTTATATCATGGTTTTTGAGAATCATTCCATTGAAGCTCCAGTGATACAACATGATACAGTTCCACATCACCACCAACCACCTACACACACACACACACACCACCAGTGGCGTGAAGTCACCAGTGGAGTCCCACAGGGCTCTGTACTCGGACCTGTCTTGTTTCTGATATATGTAAACATATCAAGAGGATGACATCAGCGGCATACACCAGGTTGGCTAACTTAAGACCGGCCTTTAGAAGCTTGTGTAAGGAATCAGAACTTTGTATGCCACATATGTCAGAACAATCCTGGAGCATGCGGCTCCAGCATGGAGTCCATATCAAGTCAAGCATAAGACTAAAGTGAAAAAAGTTCAAAGGTTTGAAACCAGACTAGTACCCGAGCTGAGGGGTATGAGCCACGAGAAGAGACTACGGGAATTAAATCTCACGTCACTGGGAGACAGAAGAGATGGAGGGGACATGATCACCACATACAAGATTCTCGGAGGAATTGACAGGGTAGTAAAGCACACACACACACACACACACACACACACACACACACCACCCACACACACACAGGGTGGACGAAGACAAACTCTTCAGCACGGGTGGAACACGAACAAGGGGACACAGGTGGAAACTTAGTACCCAGATGAGCCACAGAGACGTTAGAAAGAATTTTTTCAGTGTCAGAGTAGTTAATAAATGGAATGCATTAGGAAGTGATGTGGTGGAGGCTGACTCCATACACAGTTTCAAATGTAGATATGATAGAGCCCAGTAGGCTCAGGAACCTGTACACTAGTTGAGTGACAGTTGAGAGGCGGGACCAAAGAGCCAAAGCTCAACCCCCAGCAAGCACAATTAGGTGAGTACACACACACACACACACACACCACCACTAGCACCACCAAGACCACACAACACACACACACACCAGACACACACACACACACACACACACACACACACACACACACAACCAACCACCTACACATACACACACACACACACACACACACACACACACACACACACACACACACACACACACACACACACACACACATACACACACCACCACCCAACCACCTACACACACACACACACACACACACACACACACACACACACACACACACACACACACACACACACACACACACATACACACACCACCACCAACCACCTACACACACACACACACACACACACACACACCAACCACCAACACACACACACACACACAACCACCAACCACCAACACACACACACACACACACACACACACACACACACACACACACACACCAGGAGGGAAACTACGAGGAGATGAATAAATTCCTATGGGATATACATTGGGACACAGAACTCGGAACCAAGTCCGTACAAGACATGATGGACTATGTCACCCAAAAATGTCAGGAGGCTGTAAGCAGGTTTGTCCCAGCCCGACAGGAAAAAACAGAGAAGCAGAGGAAGAATCCGTGGTTTAATAGGGAATGTATGAAAGCAAAGGAGCTGAACAAAAGGGCATGGAGGAACTTCCGTAATAACAGAACACCAGAAAGTAGAGAGAGATACCAGAGAACCAGGAACGAGTACGTCAGTGTGAGAAGAGTAGCTGAGAAAAGGTATGAAAATGATATAGCTAATAAAGCCAAGACCGAACCAAAGCTACTACATAGTCACATCAGGAGGAAGACAACAGTGAAGGAACAGGTGATGAAACTTAGGGTGGGCGAAGACAGGTACACAGAGAATGACAAAGAGGTGTGTGAAGAACTCCACAAAAGGTTCCAGGAGGTCTTTACAATAGAACAGGGAGATGTCGCGGCGCTAGAAGAGGTGGCAGCAAAACAGGTGACCTTGGATAGGTTCGAAATTACAAGAGATGAGGTCAAGAAGCTCCTATTGGAGCTGGATGTGAGAAAAGCTGTTGGGCCGGATGGAATCTCGCCATGGGTATTGAAAGAGTGTGCAGGAGCACTTTGCCTACCAGTCTCCATAGTGTATAGTAGGTCACTGGAAACGGGGGACCTACCAGAAATATGGAAGACTACTAATGTAGTACCAATATACAAAAAGGGTGACAGGCAA